TTATCGATGATATTATGGGCCAAAAACTTACAAATATCCGCTTTAGCAGAGGATGTACACGCCTGAAAGCCTATTCTGATCCAAATCAATCAAAAGATTATCTTTTAGTCCCATTTGACAATTTGTTTTCACTCATTTGACCGCAAATGCCATTGAATTTGACTTAGTGAAAATAACCGTTAAAATTAATAGAAAAANCATAATATGACTTTTTTAATTTCTTCCTTTTGACCACTTTTCTTTAAAATTGTTTATTCCTCAAAATGAACGGTTAAGGAAAAAGAAAAAAAACTAAAAATGCATCTGATCAAAAGATGATTGTACCTAAAATCTAGTGGCTGTACCTAATGTACCTTTAAGTCATCAAACGTCGGAAGAAGGTACAATTGTACCTACTTTTTCATCCCTGCTCTACAGCAAGTGAGCCGAATTGACAACAACATCACCACAGCGTAATTGGCGCACGCAAAGCTACTCCCATCCAGGCTACCCTAACACTAACAAGCTAACGAGCTTTCTATGCTCGCAACAAAATGAATGGACCAAACGATTCGCAGCCGCACAACTTTGCCTATCTCACATTTCAACGATTCAGAATGGGCCAGCGATAAGCTCACTCTCATTAGCGTAATATAGAGGCCATACTGTGCATAGATTTATGTGTAGGAGAGATGCTATAATCGCTAGCCGTGCTAGACAGGCGTGATTCAATTTTACATGATAATTGTAATGTAACTCAATTTGGACATTAAACCCAGAAATTGCTGTGTATTAAAAGGACAAGTGATGCACAAACGCCCTACGTTGTATGTACATAGTTACAAGCAACAGGTTGGCTTTTATATTTTCATTAATGCCAAAATAAATATTTTAAATAGTTATCAGCTTAGCCGGCGCGCTTTGCTGCAGCCTAAAAATTTCAGTATGCAAATCATGAGAAACTAGATTGGCGCTTACACATATCACACATGATCTTCAAACGTGACACAACTCAAAATTTTTCATTTTTGAAATTATGCACTTAAAATGTACGCAGAGCTTTTATTTACCTTTAAGCAAAAACTCGAGCAAATCTGTGTTATAATTGGTTGAAAAGAAAAGGTAAGGTCTCCCTTGCCCATATGATTAGCATGTGCCACGAAATAGTTTTTCGCATTTTCTGACACACACACGCCTTCGAATTTTTTTTTTTTGCGTCACCCGAAATTTGCTTGCGTGCATTTACATTTGATGCAATAGAGCGAAACGTCAAATCAAAATGTCACGCAGAACAAAAATTAGAAATTGAGTTGAGCTTCATACGACCGCCGTTCATTTTCGGTTGGTCCCATACATTCGGTGATCTGTAGGCACATGATTGCCGATTATTATGGGCCATAATTGAAGGAATGTTGCCTGAAGAAGACAGCCGAGGGCAACTCAATTTATTGAAGGAAACATTTGATGAGCGCGTTATTTCAGGAAGTGGGCAAGTGAATTGGTCGCGACCTTAAACTTCTCTATATTACTTTCTCTGAGGAAACTTTGGGCGCCTTGGAAAACAGTATTATGCAAACCACTTCTTGAAAAACTGTTAGAAAATTGGAATTCCGAACCAGCCGTGGCGGCCAAAGGCTTGAAATTATATGCGTACACTGATAACATACAACTACATTTTTTAATTAAGTAAATTTCCTGTTTGAAATTAGAAGTTTAATAGCTCTGTAAAACATTTAAAATTTTTAGGTTCATACTAACTCTGCTCTACAGTTATTCAAGAAAATTCTCAAACTATCTCAAATGAAAATTATTTGAGAACAAGAGAAGATTTACAAGTTTTATTCGTTTTTTTTTTTCAAATTTAACACTTCAGTTTAGGACGAAGTCGTCGAGTAATTAGGTCACTTAAAATTTTAAAGCACACTTATCTAATATACGTTTAAGGCAGTTAGAATAACATCTTTAAAAAAAATCATTCATTATATTCATAAACTAAATCCTACATTAAATAAAAAAGGTGCACAAAAAGTATTATAAATTAAAACAAAAAGTAATCAACTCTTTAAAAATAGCTTAAGCCTACAAACTAAATAAAAACTATGGTTAATAAATGCTTTTTGTGAAAACTAAAACTCCCATACGCGTAATAAATACTCTTCGAAATTTATTCGAATTGTTGATTCAAATATCCGATGATATTATCGCGAATATTATCTGCGCAAGGATTCAAATCAAAAAAGACTAAATTACAACCATAGCGTTCGAAGCAACTATACCGCACAGTCCGATCGTTTGGCGAGCAGCAGCTAGCGATAGCCCAAACGCAGGCTGAGGAGGAAGATGGTGATTTTGGTGGAGCTGCTGTTGGATATTGGGCGGGCGCATCGGTGATTACGGAATGATGAACAGATCCCTCATTAGCGAAGCTTGGTTGAGCAGTTGTTCGGCTAGGGGGTCCTGCTGCTATATAAGAGGCGAAAAATTAAAGAAAGTGTAAATTAGATATTAAGAAAAAGAATACAGATTTAGGACAACTATTATATTATGGCACTTACTTACTGCTGGTAATGGTGAAGGCGTGGTGCGTTTAGGAAAAAGCGGTGCTGGCGCTCCAATCGTGATATTTAAACGTTGATTTGCTGCAAGTTGATGGCGGTTAGTACCAGGTGCTAAGCTATTCGTTTAAGAATAAAGTTTTATTTTAACTCACGATTTCTTGTTGGGGTATAGTCACGCCAAATTACGCGATCAGTATTGGAGGGTCCACCAAATCTTGACGCAAACTGAATGACATTAACAGGGCCGTTAAAGTAATCGCCAGGAACTGGATGTCTGTGAGGAGAAAATGTAAGGCAAAATTAGATTGTTAGAAATATTCTTTATTTTATAGTGACCTAAACAAATGTGTTTTTAAAGCGCTACGAGCTAAATTAGGGGTTAAAAAGCCTCACAATCTAAGGTATCATTTCAGAACTCTTTTTAGACCTCTCGGCTCTAGTTTTGGACCATTTGAAACTAGTTCTGGAAATTTTTCGGACAAGTTCAGGTTTGGCTCAGGTCTATTTTGGTTTCATTTCAGGACTAGTTCAAGACTATTTCGGGGTAATAATAATATTATGGCGCTTTAACTTTTGGTAAGCATTTGGACGAGCTTCTCCTCCATTTTGTGATATGCGTCTTGATGTTTTTACACGAAATGAGGGACCTACAGTTTAACGAACGGCAAATGGGTTTCGCGAGAAGCTTTTCCATGGCAGAAATACACCTTGAGGTTTGCCATTGGCTGCCGAGTGGCGATCGCTGTTAGAAAATACTTTTTATAAGGAGCATTTAGTGACTAGTTCGGAATCATTTTGGGGCTTGTAAAGCACTATTTCGGGATCGTTTCAAGACTGGCTTGAGATCATTTCGGGAGTATAAAGAACAATTATATTCAACTTATTCTTATTAATAAATTTAGTAGTTATGGCAATATTAATCGAATTATTAATCTAAATATGTCATATGTAAGTTAACGTATAGGAATGAGACCAGCCCCTCAAGCAGCATCACAACGATACCACTTGTTCTAAATATTTCAGCAGCCACTTCATCTGCACCTGAACCAAAGGAATCTTTGTCATGGAATACCACTAGTAGTAGAGAATAAATCTGTCGCCGAATTCTTTAATGAATTGATTTGGAGATTAACTTTCTAATATTTTCGTTATTCCAATTCGATTAGCAAACTCCAGATTATGGCTAGTAGATATTAAAACTGCATAATATATTTGCATACATACTTACTTTTCAAAACGTTTAACTGGTGGATAACTTGGCAAG